GATATTTACAGTAATTCAAAACGGAATAAGTTATCTTTATTGAGTTTACGACATAATACGCTTTTTCGTGCAGATTCTTCAAATGCAATACGTCTCTCTCTAGTAGTTAGCAAATTATTAAAACTTTACTGCTTGTTATTAGATATTTTAATAATTCCTGGTAATAAATTATCAATTTTCAGTAATTTTTACATAGCAATGTGCGTGCGTGCGTACGTGCGTGTACGTGTGCGAGTGCGTGTGCGTGTGTGTGTGCGTGCGCGCGCATATATACACGTATATTACTGTATATTGATATAATACAATGTAACACATCGTGTTGTGCGTGTACACAATATATATCGCATCGTTTTGTCATTACTGGTTTTAAGTGACTGTCACCAACCTTAGTTAATTTAATTTATAGTTAAGCCGAACTATTAAAATTGTGAACATGGAAACTAAATATTTGCCCTTTTTCGAGAAATTTACTGAATTGGTGTACACTGGTACAATGAATTAAAATATATTTTCTTTCACTCTAATTTATTATACCAATATATTAGTTTAGGAAGCTTTTCGAAAAAGAGCAAACTATAAATACAAATTGTCATTAGAAGTGAGAAGATTATGTTCTCTTCTTACTTCATAACTTGTATTTCTGAAAATAGTTATTATTATATACCGAAATTATTATATACCGAATAATATGGAATGATACAAACAACAAACAAAAAATTGAAGTTAAACATTAAAATATCCATAGGAGTTGGTGAAAGTCATTCTTATGTCCATTTCTAGTAATATCGATTAAACTTTAATTTGAATTTAAGGCTGTTCAGATAAAGACTTGAACTTAGATTAAAGTTTAATTTATGTTAGAAATGGGCATTAATCCTCCACATTTTATATGGCATCAGATGTTTGGATGATGATTTAATGGGTAGTAATAAACACACACACACACACACACACATACACACACACACACACACACGTACACATTTTTATTAATTGTACAGAGAAAGAAAAGAAAATATATGTACTTTTGAATGAAGAAAGGAAAAAGGAGAGGAAAGCCACAGCGTCGGCCGTATCTGTCTCTCGCGAAGATCTCAATGTATTGTAAAAAAAGAAAAAGAGGGAAAGAGAAAAAAGTAAAAAGAAATTAGTGTTTCTACAGTTGAATTTTACACTGCGAAACACCTTATATATGAATTTTAGCTTCGATTGAAAGCGAAAATAATAAGCGAATTTTATATGTTATATAAATACCGACTATCATTTTCAACATTTTCTTAGGTAGAAATAATTTGTATTACGAATTAATGATAATTTTATCTTCGAATAAATTAACGATAGAGAAATATAAAAAGGGAACGAAGGAGGTAGTGCCTTTGAGACTTTATATATAATAGTGAATGATAAATAAATTATTTTCAAGCAGGAACTTCGCAGTTCATATGATCTTTTGAATCCACCTGCGACGTTTCGATGTTATCATAGCCACTTATTACAGCTCGTTCATTACATGCGTATCATTTTAAGGCATTGCGATCTGAAGAGTAATCCGAGTTAACTCCCGCTTGCGTTTCTCTTGCGAGAAGATATCGAGGTCAAATTAATTGCTCGCGTTTGAGATGAAATTTTTTATTTTGTGAAAAACGCACATGACGTTCTTTTGTGATTTATAGACTGCGAATTAAGTTTTTGAGAGAGTAATGCTTTAGGATTGCATTCAAAACGTTCACAATCGAAGGGAAATATGTTTGATCCCGGATCCTGCGTATATTTTCGCAATTAGAATTAATAAGCAGATTCTCTTGTATTGTAATTATAATAGTGTGCGATGTAACATTTACAGAATTACGGAAATTGCTTCATATACGAAGATTTTTGTCGAATTATACATATGTATACATGTACACACATATATACAACATTTATATTCACTCATTCATGTATCTATCATTTATGTATATTATACTATTTGTTCTTTGTAGATAGCATCGATGTAAGAATATTTGGACGGATATATATTATTAATTTAGGCAAAAGGAACAAATGTACAAATTTGTACATTTTTACAATAAGAGGAAAGTTACGATATTTCAGATAATTCGACATGCACATACACATACACACACACACACACACATATGTATTTTGTGTATATATTATAATACATTTATAACTTATAATAAATTGACATAGCAAATTTTTTCAAAAGTTTTCAAAAATTTTTAGCAAAAGATCCTATTTCAATCGGTTGTAAATACTCCAGCACGAACTAGTACAATACTGAATATATTCGAAGAAGCTGTGGAAAAATCTGAAATACCGTAATCCTTCCCTTGTCGCTAATTAGTTTTTCAGATAAATATTAATATTAGTGGCGATCTCACTGATTTTAATGACATATACTGCTATACTTTGACATATGCTGCTAAAGGCATATTTCTAATTAATTTGCAAAAAGTTTTAATCGTCGCTCTTTGTTTATTACAAAGTTATGAATAATTATAATTAGTAACTGACTGCTGTTTGAAACATAAGAATGCATTCATTTTTGCATGAGGTATGAACTTTATATTGAGAAATGGACAATAGATAATAGAAAATTACAATGAACTCTAAATAGGATATCGGATACATATCTGTTATAATATTGAAAAAAGTTATGCTAAAATTCTGCTAAATATTCTATTGTAATTATGTTTCTATTGTAATTATATCGTGAAATATTTGCATATATTTTAATGCCAACAATAACATTTTGCGTATATAAAACAGCATATGTATATATATATGAAGAAGAAACTTCCTCACTAAATTAAATCTAAACCTATATCACTATGCATAATGAAAATCGACTCAGATTAAATTAGATTGGAAAGGTAAACCTGGGACGAGTAGTCCATTCTTTCCCGTCTCATATACAGGATGTCCCAAAAGTAACGAACTACCCTAATAACTCTTCAGTACTGAAGTTTCAAGGAAAATGATCTGAATAAAAGTTGTAGGGATTTAAATGAGCTACCTTATGATGACCTTGACTTTGACCTTGACCTCTATTTTCAAGATCATTTGAAGGTCAACTTGCGTTTTTTAAATGGGAACCCTTATTTTTTATTACACTGTTTTTTTCTACTAGTTAATTTGAACAACTTTTGTTTAAAACATTTTTCTATTTGTCTAACATTTCTTTAGATATTTGAGGAAAACTTGATAACTTTTTCAATATTTAACTTACGATATTTCGCTAACTATTTATCGGAAGAAAAAGTGGTACTAGACTTTTTTGCTTTATTTAGTCTTAAGAATGTATTGTTATAATAGCGCCCAGATTTCTGTTAATTTGATGATTTTGAAATTTCCATAAGTCAGTAAATTAACAAAAGTCAGGGCGCTATTGTAACAATATATTCTTGAGACTAAATAAAGCAAGAAAGTCTAGTACCACTTTTTATTCCGATAAATAGTTAGCGAAATATCGTAAGTTAAATATTGAAAAAGTTATCAAATTTTCCTCAAATATCTAAAAAAATATTAGACAAATTGAAAAATGTTTTAGACAAGAGTTGTTCAAGTTAACTAGTAGAAAAAAAACAGTGTAATAAAAAATAAAGGTTCCCATTTAAAAAACGTAAGTTGACCTTCAAATGACCTTAAAAATAAAAGTCAAGGTCAAAGTCAAAGTCATCATAAGATAGTTCACTTAAATTCCTACAATTTTTATTCTGATGATTTTCCCTTGTAACTTCAATACTGAAGAGTTATATGAGGATGGTCCGTTACTTTTGGGACACCCTGTATATAGAGTGAGGAAAAAAGATGGAAACCCTTAAAAATCTCGAAAGATATAAGTTTTACAGAAAAGTGTTTCAAACAAAAGTTATAAGGCTCAAAACGATGTATTTATTGATCTTATCAATTTGACCTTGAGTGGCGTTGTCAAAGTCAGGTCAAAGTCAACTTATTTTTTTTAAACAGAAACTCAATTTTTTATTGTATCATATTTTTCTACCAATTAATTTGAATAACTTTTGTCTGAAATATTTTTTTACTTACCTAATATGTTTTGAGATATTTAAGGAAAAATTGATGACTTTTTTAATACTTAACTTACGATATTTCGCTAACTATTTGAAGAAAAAATGGCACTAGATTTTTTTACTCTATTTGGTCTTAAGAACATATTGTTACAATAGTTCCCTAACTTTTGTTAACTTATTGACTTATGAAAATTTCAAAATCATCAAATTAACAAAAGTCAGGGTGCTATTGTAACAATATATTCTTGAGACCAAGTAGAATAAAAAAATCCAACATTTTTCCTTTCGACAAATAATTGGCGATATATCGTAAGTTAAATATTGAAAAAGTCCGAGTTTTCCTTAAATATGTAAAAAGATATTAGACAAAAAAAAAAATGTTTCAGACAAAAGTTGTTCAAATTAATTGGTAGAAAAAGATAATATAATAAAAAATGGAGGTTTCTGTGAAAAAAAGATAAGTTGACTTTAATCTGACCTTGGCAAGGCCACTCAAGGTTAAACTGATAAGATCAGTAAATACATCGTTTTGAGCCTTATAACTTTTGTCTGAAACAATTTTTTGTAAAACATCTTTCGAGATTTTTAAGGGTTCCCATCTGTTTTTCTCATCCTGTATGTACTGTTTTACTGACACAAAATATCTAATGTTGATTTTTATTTCTTTATATAAAATTTATAATTCCTGTGGAAATATATGCGTGTGGAAATATATATCATATGTTCCAAACATTAGTTAGTCATTATTTTTAATTATTTATAATTTTATAACGAGCAAAGAACGAAGTTAAGACTTTTTATAAGTTAGTCAAAATCATGTCCTTGATATTGTAATATATATCAAGATTATTGAAATTGGCGAGGTCGCCGCCAATAATAATATTCATCGACCTTATAAAATGCTTCGTTTAAATATTTTTATGTCGATAGTATTTCTTTTTTGTATTGTTTTTTTTTTTCGTTTTGATTTTGGAGTATACTCTAAAGCACGGTATCCATGAGATAACAACGACGATGACTACGACCACGACGACAACGATTATGACAAAGACGAAGACGAAGACGCACCGAGAAAACGCACCTGGAACGACGGACAGTTAATGGACAGATAATGAAGGTTCGAGTGTGCTGCAGGTGCGTACTTTTTTCGTAGAGCTAGAGAACCATGCTCATTGTTTCTCATTCTTCTTTCACTTGTATGTTGCTAAGTGTATATAAAATGCAACGAACTGTAATGAACACATAAAATGTAATTAAAATTACTCTCTCGTTATGAAGTTCACATTCTACACACTGTTTAGTATTTGTTTCTTTTTTTTTTCTTTTCCTTATTAGATATCATGACGAATTTTGTTTTCGCCCTTGTATAACCAATCGTGATCAGCAGCAAAGCTTGTTCATATCTTGACAACTAATCGTTGCTTTTGTTGCGACATTTTAGATTTTACTATTTTTAGATATAATAAATACAAATATAATATTAGGTGTACAACTTTGCTTCCGCCGTTTTCCTATAGATGGCTTTAGCGGTAAGTAGTGGTCGAAATAAATAGATCATAGACGTCATGCAATAAACTTGGGCATCTGTCAACATAACCCCATAGAAACATTAGTCGATTTGTGTCTGCATCATAAAGTTATTCTCGATTGAAAATGTCAGTTTACGGGCCAAATTCTCGTCATTTGCGGGAGGTTTTAATTTTCTGCTTCAATATGAAGAAATCTGCGGCTAAGGCTTATCGAATGTTCTCAAATACTTATGGTGAGGCCGCTATTAGTGAAAGAACGTGTCGTAAGTGGTTTCAACGCTTCAAGAATAGTGATTTTCACCGAAGACCGGCATAGCGGTGGAAGAGAGAAGGTTTTCGAAGATGCAGAATTATGGGCATTACTTAATGAAGACTCGTGTCAAAGTCAAGAAGAATTGGCACGATCATTGGGAGTGACTCAACAAGCAATTTCAAAACGCCTCAAAGACATGGGAATGATTCAGAAGCAAGGAAATTGGGTGCCATACGAGTTGAAACCGAGAGATGTTGAACGGCGTTTGTTTGCTTGTGAACAGTTGTTTGAAAAGCAAAGACGGAAGGAATTTCTGCATCATATTGTGAGTGTGGACGAAAAATGGGTTCATTACGATAACCCCAAGCGCAGAAAATCATAGGCATATTCCGGTCATGCGTCGACGGCCAAACCGAATATTCACGGCTCCAAGATCATGCTCTGTATTTGGTGGGACCAGCTCGGCGTAGTATATTATGAGCTGTTAAAACCGACTGAAACAATCACAGGCGATCGTTATCGGACGCAATTAATGAGTTTGAGCCGAGCATTGAAAGACAAACGGCCGCAATACAACGAGAGACACGATAAAGTGATTTTGCAGCATGACAATGCTCGACCCCATGTTGCGAAAGTGGTCAAGACTTGGAAACATTGAAGTGGGGTCCTACTCCACCCGCCGTATTCTTCAGACGTTGCTCTCTCTGACTATCACTTGTTTTGATCAATGATACACGGCCTGATTGACCAGCACTTCCGGTCTTATGAAGAAATAAGAAATTGGATCGATTCGTGGATCGCTTCAAAAGTTGGCCAGTTTTTTCAACGCGGGATTCATACGCTGCCCGAAAGATGGGAGAAAGTAGTGGCCAGTGATGGACAATACTTTGAATCATAAATATACAACCAGTTTTTTACAATAAAGCCTCGAATTTCGGAAAAAAACTGCCGAAGCAAAGTTGTACACCTAATATAAATACAATATAAATATAATATAGTAATATAATAATAATCTCAATAAACATCAACTAACATTGTATTGTTATAATTTTTTATTTGACAGTTAACTGTTATGTACAACATATGTTATATTGCACTTACATCCTTGAATGGGGAATTATAATATTGATCTAATGTTACTGTTAGGTGGGTATTTGCTATTACCGTTTGTTAGCTAGATAATATAATAATAATAATATTAGTAGTAGCAGTAGTAGTAGTAATAGTGGTAGTAGTAATAGTCTGCTCTCGCGCATAAAGGGTAGGCGATTGCTTATTTTAAGTATTTAGATTATTTATGAAATATAGTTCTTCTGTGAAAACTACGCGAGAGTGGTTCTGTTATGGTCAAGTTCGAAATGCGGTCAGTTCATGAAATATCCGGCCAATTTCACGTTTGGCTGACTGAATTGGCCGATATGCTCGACAAGTATAAATCCATAATCATTTTGAGTGTAGGTCAATCAATCAGTTCTGACTAATTTTAAAACTGGCCTGAAATTACTTACTGATCATCAATTTGAAATACTATAATACAAAGAAATGATAAAACAAATACCGTATCAAATAATATACCTGGAATGGAAATACTGATACGTTTTAACATTACAATATACATTACCAATAAATTTACTTCTTATATACATTTATCGTATATTGTTTCATATACAACAAATATGAACGAACTTTAACACATAATAAACTAAGTGTAAATTATATATAAAATAATCTTGCATATAAAGATTGCAAGAGTATGCAATGCTAATTTTTATTTTTATTATTAACAACTATTTATTTATATGGTACTTTTAGATGTGTAGATACATCTTGCGGAAGAATCTTATTGGATGTTATTGTATTATACTTTAATCTTGCTATAGATTCATTAATTTAGTAAATTAAAAGTTTTTGTAACATTAATCACATCAATGTTTGAAGAAAATATTCGAGTGACGTCATAAATTAATATTATACAATTTTTCATTTTTAATCAATAAAATACAATATAGACATTCTCTACATCAAAATTATATTTTGATAAATAAATAATTACTAAATAACTAAATATATAGAGTTTCCCATTTTAAAGTTTTGATTAAAATATCTCTTTAGGAAAGCATTTAAGAAAGAAATGTTTTAGACAAAAGTTCTTTTGGTTTGAATCGGCATATAAGACAGAAAGATCATTTTGTTTACAGATATCGTCACTTTCGAGATATTCACTCATCATCATTTTTTTAAATTAGAAACTCTAACTTTTAATTATATCATCTTTTTCTACTAATTAATTTGAACAACTTTTGTCTGAAACATGTTTTCTATTTGCCTAATATTTTTGAGATATTTAAAGAAAACTTGGTAATTTTTTCAATATTTAGTTTGCGACATCTCGATAACTATTTGTCGGAAGAAAAAGTAGTATGAAAGAGATATCTCAAATCGGCTCTCGCAGTCTTCTTTAAAATCGTTTGTAGTTGTTCTTTTTTTGGTTTTTGTTTTTATTTTTTTTTTGTTTTCCGTTTTCATTTTTTGAAATTGTGCGGCATGCTTGTAGATTTATATGTGATAATCTTATATTCTAAATTATACATTTATACATGATTGTCTTATATTCTAACGTAAAATAACATATGTATATCTTTTTTTTCTAATATTTCTCGTTCTATTATAAATGATGATGGTTTTTTTGTCGCACTACAAACAACTACAAACGATTTTCAAGAAGACTGCGAAAGCCGATTTGAGATATCTCAAAAATTGACCGAATCGCCTCTTGGACGTTTTTTTTAATTGTTACAACTTTTGAACGGTTCAACTACAAACGAAACGAAAAGCACTACAAACAACTACAAACGATTCTAAAGAAGGCTGCCAAAGCGGATTTGAGATATCTCAAAAATTGACCGAATCGCCTCTTGGGCGTTTTTTTAAATTGTTACAACTTTTGAACGGATCAACTACAAATGAAACGAAAAGCACTACAAACAACTACAAACGATTCTAAAGAAGGCCACGAAAGTCGATTCGAGATATCTCAAAAATTGACCGAATCGCCTCTTGGGCGTTTTTTTAAATTGTTACAACTTTTGAGCGGTTCAACTACAAACGAAACGAAAAGCACTACAAACAACTGCAAACGATTCTAAAGAAGGCTGCTGAAGCGGATTTGAGATATCTCAAAAATTGACCGAATCGCCTCTTGGGCGCTTTTTTAAATTGTTACAACTTTTGAACGAATCAACTACAAACGAAACGAAAAGCACTACAAACAACTACAAACGATTCTAAAGAAGGCCACGAAAGTCGATTTGAGATATCTCAAAAATTGACCGAATCGCCTCTTGGGCGTTTTTTTAAATTGTTACAACTTTTGAGCGGTTCAACTACAAACGAAACGAAAAGCACTACAAACAACTGCAAATGATTCTAAAGAAGGCTGCGGAAGCGGATTTGAGATATCTCAAAAATTGACCGAATCGCCTCTTGGGCGTTTTTTAAATTGTTACAACTTTTGAACGGATCAACTACAAACGAAACGAAAAGCATTACAAACAACTACAAACGATTCTAAAGAAGGCCACGAAAGTCGATTTTAGATATCTCAAAAATTGACCGAATCGCCTCTTGGGCGTTTTTTTAAATTGTTACAACTTTTGAACGGTTCAACTACAAACAAAACGAAAAGCACTACAAACAACTACAAACGATTCTAAAGAAGGCTGCCAAAGCGGATTTGAGATATCTCAAAAATTGACCGAATCGCCTCTTGGGCGTTTTTTAAAATTGTTACAACTTTTGAACGGATCAACTACAAACGAAACGAAAAGCACTACAAACAACTGCAAACGATTCTAAAGAAGGCCACGAAAGCCGATTTGAGATATCTCAAAAATTGACCGAATCGCCTCTTGGACGTTTTTTTTAATTGTTACAACTTTTGAACGATTTAACTACAAACAAAACAAAAAGCACTACAAACAACTACAAATGATTCTAAAGAAGGCTGCGGAAGCGGATTTGAGATATCTCAAAGTCAGGTGGGTGTCATTTTTGTAAATTTTTATATTTTTAGACGGTCGAACTATAATCGAAATTAATGTTACTACAAACAACTACAAACGAAAATCTAACGTTTTTTATGCAGAAAAGTTAATTTTTAAAAAGTCGGGTGTCAAGTTCACACAGGTCGTTATGGTGACTTTTAGAACTGTACTATTGTAGTACTTTTAGTACATAGTAATGTACTTTTAGTACATTAAAATAGAAAGTCACAATAACATCAAAGTGACAAGAAAATGATCTAATCATGATAACAAAGTAAGTCTTTTGTTACTCATTTTGAAGTCATTGTG